ATATGAACTACGAAGGCGGCTCTCCTTTTCTTGAGTTAAAGTTAATAATTCTGTTCCATCGTTAACATCGATAAACTGCACAATATATATTGTATACACAGTACACACATATGACGTAGCGAACAATATACTTTTGTGTATTATCGAAGCTACGTATATTGTTCGCCGTTTTGGCTGTATATTAAACATGTGTGGCACATCCCGCGAGGATACGGTTACCCGTTGTACAATATACTGTTCGCAGCGTGACATTATGGATTTATTATTGAAAGACATAAATTCGTGTTTGCGTCGTTTACGAAGACCCCAGAATACAACCCATAAGTAAGCAATAGTTTAAGATGTCGTCCCTCCGATTGGAACAGTTTATAATGTTACGGCAATTTTATTACATTTTGATTAACACGACAATGAAATAACGGCGGTGGCGCAAGATTGTTTTGCAACGCGCGCGCTCGATTACCATTTTTAAGCAATTCACAAATATATTAAATGTAAAGCATATTATACAGTTGTCCAATGGTTTTATAAACATTCAATTAAAATTCAGCTTCGTTTAACTGCCACACATTGAATTCATTGGTTATTTTTATTGCGGGTAGAAAGTATAATATGTAACGGTTTCTTAATAACTGGTTTAAAATTTAATGATAATTATACTATGAATTATGATATAGTTTATTGAAATATTGTACTTGAAAAAAAATATATCCACTACTCGCTTCACTCACTTCTAAACTGGAAAGATAGTGGTGCGTATCATATATATATATATATATATTATTCTACACGATAACGTAAAGTGTACTGCTTCCTATCACATTTGCGGAACATTCGAAAAACAGATTTCGAACTCGAAAATGTCTAGATGATTAAAAAACGTATTCATGCTTACATTTCAAAATTCCAATTATATGACTTATTCAACTGTCAGGAAATAGTTTTTATTTTTAAAACTATAAAACATATTTACTTAAGTTAGTAAAGTTACGATATGCATTTTAATGTTAAAAAAATATCGACTTATGTACAGTTAAGACAATGACTACATTAAAATTTGAATTCCACCGGATATATAAAAATCATCATCGTCATTTTATAATGTACACCAGCAATTTATACATATATACGTATGCCAATTAAGATTTAAGTTTATGTATTTTTAGAAATAAAGATAAATAATCATATGAGCTTATTTTTTAAAACTTACACACTACGTCGTGGTCCCATGAAACACGCATGTCTGAGACTATTTTAAATAGTATATGATCCCTGTATAACTTGATGACTTTTATTATTAGTCACGCTGCAGTCGTGTAGGGTTTTAATAAGTAAAAGGTTATAGCTATTTACTGAAATTTACGATGATGATATCTTAATGAGTTTCAAAGGACAGGAATTTTCATTATAAATCCATTCCAACTGTCCGTTATCAGCGAAACAAATTAATTTTAAAATTGGAGCTTTAAAACCACTAAAATAGTACACTTATATTAAAAATATATCGCTAAGTGTCAATAATTATATTCTGTCAAGTTAACTTTATTATGCAGTATTAATATCAAATTAAATTCATTTTTCGAATCATTTTAAATAGCATTTTATTATTACTACTTATTTATTATTTAGGTTTTGTTACATAAGAGTAATTAATAAAAATTATAACAAGTTTACTCGCCATGAGCGAAATTACGCTTTATGAGCGTAACTATAGAATTTAGCAGTCACTAAGAATTTGAAATCAAATGATAATTTCGTCATTAAAAAATATGAAATCAAAACAAATAATAAAATATTAAATAAGTATATAGTTTGAATAGCTTCTTCACTCAAGCCAACCATGACCTATTATAATATATCATTCCATCTATTGTGCTTATTGTAAATATATTTTATACATATTGTACAAATAAAAATAAATATGTGGAAAAAAAAGTATATAGTTTCCATTTATTAGGAAAAATATTTATTTAACATTTTATAAATGTCACGGCTGTTTCTAGAATTGAATAATTTAAAATTATCATCATTATTATTATTCATTATTCTTAAATTCATTAATCAAATTTAAATACTTTTTCAATTAAAATGTCTATAACAATGTATTAAGGCATAATAGTTTTTTGTTGAATGGTTTTCACGTTTTATTAACATTTTTATGAAATTATTATTATTATTTTATTGTTGGATTTTTTTTATCAACAAACTAAAATATGTATTGATTATTACATAAGCTAACAATATTTTTAGCTTAAATATGGTTAGATATTGTTTATAAGATTTTTACTAAAATTTTATCGATTCCGTCTATAAGTAGACAATATTTCTAATTGCACTTGGACATATTAGTAGGTACAGCTGTTAATATTTATATTTGATAAACATAGATTAATTTATTGTTTTTAATTCATCAGAATTCTCAATTATCGTCAATAATTTCTATACACCAATTTTAGATCCCTATTACAATGATGTTGTAGGTTAAATAATTTTTGATATTTTTGAATGATATGACATTTAAATTAGAATCCAATAAATCGATGGTTGCATTTACAATCATTAGTATAGAATCTATTTGAAAATACATGTGATGCGTTTGTAAATTTACGAATACGCCACAACCAACTGTGCCGATTGTCCTGACTGGGTAATCTTGATTTCTGGATCTTTTATTCTTCAGTCTTTGTTCTAACCTAGTAAACACTTGGAATTTAGACACGGTTTATGCCTCGTCGTTTTGTTTCTGATTTAGTCGTGGATCAATTAAATCTGTGTTAGTAGTTACGGTTTATTTTTCTTTATTCATAGATACCGTTTTGTAAACGTGTGATTTTTCTTTTCTTTTCAATTAGCCTTTTCCTATTTTAACTGTCGTCGATTGATTAATTTAGCGTTTTACTGTTTCGTGACACTGATGAAGAACCATTTTAGGAGATAGATATTTTTGTTATACCTTAGTATTTAGTACCTAAGTTTTTATTCTCTCGGTATTATAAAATTTTTGGATATGCAATCGTTTTTAATATTCCAAGTTGAGATCAAAAACATACTGACAACAGTCAGGAATTTCAGTTTCGATATTAGAACAATTTTCGGGAGTAACAGGACGGCTTTCTAAACACTAGCGAGACCATATTCTTCATACTCGTTATTCATCGGTAGACACAATAGTGTTTTTTTTTTATGTACAATTAGATAAAAGTACAGCGGATTTCTCTTTCATAGGGGATTTAGTTTGTGGTGCACGTTTAATTTCATTTTCATTTTAAGTCTCTTGACTGTTTTGCGTTTTTCTGGGTGCCGATGAATTTTGAAACAATTTATTGTTCGACTGACAATTTTAAACCTGATTGTTGTCAACGCGATCAGTTCAATCGGGAAAAGTTAAAGCACACACACCACAACATCGATATAAGTAGGGTATTGTAATTCCCCTTGTCTCATCCGCGTGACAGCGTCCTTTGTATAATACATAATAAATATAACAATATATACATCACGTCGTGTGTGAGGTGAGTGGTTATAATATATTATGCACTACTGTTGCAGTTATCGACGACCGTGGTTTTCCGGTTTTCACACGCGTCATTGTGTATGTATCGGCTCCGACGTGTAAACGACAACATTATTTTCCTCGCGAAGCCCGGCCGACGGTCTACTCGTTAACCGCGGAGCTTTAACGTTGCAATAATAATATTATAGTCATATCGTGTACAATAATAGATATTATGTACCTCTACAGTCTACACTACTACAGAGTACAGACTTATTGCATGCGATCGCGTTTTCGTCGCGCTATCGCGGAAAGTCGTCGGCACGCGAGTCCCCGCGTGCACATACCTCAATACCTGCAGCAGCAATAATAATAATAATATTAATGACGACAATGATAATATAATATTTTATCACGGAACGCGTTCAACGCTGTGTACGTACATTGTACACATATTATTATTATTATTATTGTGCGGTCGCACAAATCACAATGTCGTGTGTACGTCGTCGTTAAAAGTCCAACTGGTTTATCGTGTGCCAGTCGTCGCGTCCTCGCAGCGCTGTTGCTGTCGTTGGCGTCGCTTTGATCAGCGGGTGTCCGCGACGACATCGGCGGCGGCCGGTGGCGCCTGCGTACACGATTCTTATTAATTCTCGTCGGTGCGTTCGGAACAAGAATAAAAAAAAAATAAAAAAATATAAATAAATAGTCGTCGACCGTCTGGTCGGCCATATGGCGGTGCTAAATCGCAAAAAAAACCACACACACACACACACTTTTCGAGATTTGTTGTTTATCGAAATCCGTGCGCGCATTCCCCGCGGAAGGGCGAACAAAATAACGTCGGGGACGATAATAACAAATAGCAGCGCGGTGGAAAAAAAAGCCACAGGTAACCGACGCGCGCGTAAACTGTATAAATAATGTAATGTATATATATATATATATCATGTTAAAACATATTATACACAGTGTGCGTACGTAGATGTACACCCGTATAATAGGTATATATACCGTACGTATACGTATAATAGGCATAACGACACGACGTAAACGAGTTTCGATGCCGGGCGAGAATCGGATTTCGAATATTTTTATTATTATTATCGTTAATGTTAGTGCTCGCTGCGAGAACATCTGCCGCTCATCGATCGCCGAGCACAGTATAATAATATGTGCATGTACACGCACGCTCTCCCTCACTCTCCGGAGCTGCTGCACCGGGACCTCGATCTGATGCGGTGTTGGTGTCTCTGTCGGGTATACGTATTGTGTTACTGGCCGAGACGCTGGCGGGACATGTGTTGGGCGCGCACTCACGCACACGCACGCGGTGTCTTCGACATTGCACCTGGCGGACCCGACCGTATTACCGCGCGCCAGCTGCTCCGGTCCCGGGACACCCGGTCGCGATCCTCTACACGACCGGCCACCCATCCCGAGACACACGCCGGGAATCAGTTCTCGACGGACGTCCGCGGACGACTCATCTCGCGCTCCAGCCATGTTCTCGTGCAAGACCCGGTACGCTTGCGGCCGGAGCCGGCAGCAGCACAGCGACAGCGACGAGGACGGAAGCTACGGGTTCGGGGCCGTGGGAAACCGGACCAGGGCCGCCGCCACCTCGGCGTACGGCAAAGCCGGTCAGTCGTCGTCGGACGAAGGCGACTATCACATTTACGGAAACGTGACGTTCGGTTACAAGCCCATATTGAAGACGCGGCTGTCGAGCGCCGCTAGTTCGGTGCGCCGACGGGCGCCCGTCAAGCGGACCGTCAGCTTTTCCGGCGTGTTCCGGTCCCCGCCGTCCCCGCCGTCACCGATCAGACGCCGCAACAGCTTCCGGCCTCCGCCCCCGTGCTATTCGTTGGCCGTGCGTCGTGCTTCCAGTTTTTCCACTACCCGCAAGAACGTGGCCCAGATGATCGCTCAGAGACAGCGCATGCCGCTGCCCGGCGAACAGACCTTTACGTCGCTGCCGCAGCCGCCCACAGACGGACGACGCGTTTTCGCCGCGCCGCCGTTACCGCCCGCGAACGATCGACGCGTTTTCGCAGTGCCGCCGTTACCGCCCGCAGACGGTCGACGCGTTTTCGCCGTGCCGCCGTTGCCGCCCGCGGACGAACGACGCACGAACAGCGGCGACATTACGTCGACCGCAACCCTTCACACCAGCCGAGTCGTCGTCGACGTGCACAAGTCGTCTAATCGCTCGGAAACGCCTCCGACCGCGGTCGCGCCCACTGTAAGTACCGTGTTTAACACACGTTTGGCTCGTTAACTGTTGAGATTATTGCTCCGTTTTTCCTTACGCGTTTTTCGCGGAAAATTCGTCGTTCTATTATATGTCCATGTGAAGCGAGTTACGTCTTCGTCGTCTTTGTCGTGATTATTATTATTTTTACTATTGTTACTGTTTTGCTGACACGGCACACTCGTGAAAAGTGCGCACGTAACGCGTATCGCTCTTTTCCTTTTCCTTAAAGTATGTTTCAATAGCAATGACAATAATAATATACAGTGTAATGCATATCATATAGATAGTGGGTACCACGCCTATTGCGTGCTCTCCGGTGTTTTTAAATTATAGTTGTGACAATTACATTACTATTATTGTTGTCGTATAGTGTCGTATATTGCAGAGAGCACGTATACATTATTATACAGTATATTACTGAGTAATAAAATATATAGTAGCTGCGACGCAAGTTCCTGATTACTGAATGTGTATTGTAGGATTATGTAGTATGATATTCGTCTAAAAATAATTATTATATCAATTCGCTGGACGAGAGTTGAGACTCATACCAAGAATATACTTCTTATACTTACGTTACGTTTTCTCGAGTGTCGCCGGTTACGTAATATAATGTTATTATTTATTTATTTAGGATTAAACGAAGTATTCGTGCGTATAAGTATTAAAGGATAATGCAAAACATCGATAAGATTAATAAATAAATATACGTATCAAACTAAACAGAGGAAATCAACTTCCTAGAAGTATGACTAAATAAAAATAAAATTTAATAGAATAAGCTCATCGAATCGTGCTTCTGTACATAATATATAGGCCGATTTTGAAGTGGGATTAATCATGAAATATAATGATTTCTGTAGAAGTAATCAATCGAAGCTTGCGTGTGCTCAGAATTTAATGCTAAATTCTGAAGATGTGCATGTTGACAACGAATAAGCGTTCAATTTAGGAGTACAGTCGTGTATAATACAATTATTATTGTTATAATATCGATAGTTATGAACTGATGAAAAATAATTATCATTTCCATAGTATATACACGACTGAGCCCGCTTCATCGTGTGTTAAGGTAAATCACGTTATTTAGGTATTTTTCGCATGAAATGGTGTATGTATGCATCTATCATGCTACATTTATTAGTATGATGGCCACCTTAATGTCACAAGTAATCTATTATTCATATAAAAATATGAATTCGCCAGTAGCGCCATCTACCCAATGAATATTTTAAATTATAAATACAAATATGCATTTTACAACAATAACCATTAACCAGTAAATAACGCGATTTTCATAAATTTTCAATGTTCACTGAAAAATTTATTATGATAATCAAATTGACATTAGCATTAAAAATCGGTGTAATAATAACAGTGATGAGATAATTCGGAAATGCTGATTTTAGTAATATCACGGTCATTGGTAGTTGTCGAAATATATCTGAACGTCACAACTGCCACAGCTGCAAATCGCGTCAAACGACGCGTTATTGTTCGCATAATCCCGTATATATTATGTAGATTAAACATACACAAGGTTGTATTGAGAGATGCTTGTGATATATGATTTTTTTTTTGGGTATTAATGGATAAAATGTACAACAAATTTGCACCCCCCCCCCCTTCACAACCTCTAACGTGAGCAAATTACATCACCGAACTTAACATCGTGTAATAGGTCTTTCGATAACAATAATACATTAATCATATTATAATATAGGTCCTACGCTCTAACTAATTATCAGACGAATATTTAGTGGTTTAATGGAAGAGATATTAAATTTTTGCTTATTATTATGCATCGCGTACGCATAGTAATGGTAATCATCGTTACGGAGTATATATTGTTATATAGACGAACGCGAAGAACAATGGCGCATTAAAAACATTATAATTTATTATGGGCTTTGGAGTCTTAAAAAAAAAATGCATAATTTTAATCGAGTCAGTTGACCTAACACAATGCGTATACAGGGATCATTGTTTCCTTTTTAATTGAAAACATAATGTTTTATTTTTTATTTTTGTATTAAAACGATCGTGCGCCGTCTACGCTGTGTACTGTATGCATATTACATTATGCGGGGTTGAGTAATACTCTATATTAACGCGTGAATGTTTTTTTTTTATAACTATCGCGTTGTCTAGGAACCGATACTTACAACGTTCATCCATTTAAAGGCTTGTTTGTTATTACTATCATTGGATTGACATCGCACAATGACGATAAATTAATCGAAAACCGCACGAGCGATATAATGTTATGTGTACGATGTAGTTTAACATAGCTTGTTGTAATATATTATAATAAATGTGTTTTGTTTAAGAAGAACTATAATTTTTAAACTATAGCACCGTTCACAATAAATGCATAAACGCCACTGCCTGGATCGTCGTCGTCGTTAAAAATATAAAATTTGTGAATAGATAATAATTTTAAATAATAATATTGGAACGTGTATAAATTTAAAGAACGTATTTTCAAGTTTTTATATATATTTATTGACTTTATGCAGTTCAATGGGGGTGGAAATGTGGACGACTTATTCGTAATAAAAGTTATAGAAAAAATGTATTTTGCATATTATTATATTATTCATTTGACGCAGGAAAAACGTGTTTTAATTTAGAAATTAAAAATGATGGTATGATAAAATTATTGATTTGTAATTACACATATCGAAAACTGAATAATTGTTTAATTTTTCAAATGTAACTAAATTTCAATAATTTTCTAAAAAAAAAGGCTGGTTCAACAATTATTTGCAAGCTTAAGCATTTAAGCATACCATTTATTATAATATGATGTTCTATAAACGGAGATGAATTTAAATAGTATAAATTTGTTAAGTTTTTAACTATTTAAAGTTTAAAAAAATAAATATATTTTCTATATTTTCAACATATTTTTTTAGTTTAAAATTTAATTAAAATAATATTGAAAGAATATATTTTAATTCCGCTCTTTAGTTACAATATAATACATTATCTGTGTATATATAGTGTTAACATCAGATTATAATTTAAAAGCAATGTCAGAATCTTGCGTGCGTGCTCCAGAAACAGTGGTACTATATGTAATAAGCAGTTGAAAGATTATATAATAACCATTGTCGGGGGAAAAAATTGAAAAACTCCGTGTATTTCAATCCCGTGTTCATAGTTGGGATTTTAATAAAATAAAATACGAACCGGGGCGGATTCGTTGTATGCAATGGTCGAGGGGGGAGCAGTCGCGTTTGTGAAGAAGTTTTGACGTCGCACGAACACATACCTACTAGAGTATAATAATAATATGTATATAATATGAAAACCCAAAACGTCTGAGGGTTGTTCCCCTCGCCACTTACATGCAGGTGGTTCGTGTATAGTTGTGTGCGCACAAATCGAAGACTTACTGCACACGCGTATAACTGTATATCAACGAATATATGTTGTTCGATTACGTTCGACTGATGGTTTTGTCGTTATTATTATTATTATTATTATTAACGTATCAACATTTTTGTCTATTTTTGTTTTGTAGAGTTTGGATAAAAGCCCGTCCAAGCCAGTCGACAATGTAATATTAAAAGCACCTAATGCCACAGATATAGCTGGTCAGCGGATGGATTCTTATAGATTCTCGATGGCAAATTTAGAAGGTAAGAACGTCGTTTACGAAATTATAAACGCGATGCCGAGTTATAGCTGCGCATATAGTCGCCGGCGTCTCGTCACTATGCAACGATGTTTGATAATGTTCTATTCGTTTTTTTCGCGTTTCAGATACTCAAGACGTAGACTTAGACGCCGTGTTGGGTGAGCTATGCGCATTAGAATCCCAATACCAGAGCACGAATAGTCTATTAGATTCGGAAAAAATCGGTATGCAAATCGTTATTGTCGTCCGTTTCGCGTTTATAGAATATGAACATATATATGTATTACAATAATGACTATTTTTTTGTTTATTACAGATTACAATACAATAAACAGGATGCTGTCAAATTCAAATCAGCCGGGAACAGGTAAAACCCGTCATTTATTTTTTGAATATCAGCTGTTATTGTGTTGCACCGCGATTTATTCACGCAGACAACAACAACCATAACCCCTTATTTTTATTATAATACGCCGGCAGGCATTTCGGGTTTTCCGATTGTGCGGCAAATCACAAAAATCTTTTCTTTACAATTATTTTTTTTTATACATATTTGATATATATATAAGTAATGCCCATTATATTATTATAACTCACAATAATGTTATCGTTCCAATAATAATACGTCGTCTGGGAAGGGTCAATATCAGAATAGAGGCACCTGGCCAACATGACGTAGTTACGCCACCATTCTACTCTGGTCCAACAATCGCGGTTTCATTTTTGGCCATGGTTCAAATGGTAATGAATTAAAGAAACGTTTCGTGACATTCGGCCTGTATACGTTTAAAACTGAGTAGTAAGCTCAATTCTTTGGACTTTACCCAAATCTGATAATGTTATAGTAACTCGGGGGAATACCCTAGTAGATTAATCGCGTCAGTTCAATTTCACTTACCCCCTTTTTATCGTTATATTTTTCTCCCAACGCATTTTTCACCATGACTCTATGTATAGATTTACACTATATAAATATATACTATTTGAATCAAAGTTTTATAAATTTTTATATTTTCTAGTGAGGACTGATAGCCCGGATAATGATTCCGCGTTCTCTGATTGCGTATCGTTGTTGTCGAGCAGCGAGAGTTCAGCTTCGAGCGGCACTACCAATCATTCTAGAAATAAAGTATGTAATATTATTATGCAGTTAATCGTTTTTATATTATTAATTTTATTGTCATTATTATGCATGCTAAGCATATCACATACTATTGTAAATTATCATCCGGCTATAATGTATATTATCGATTATTACAATATTATATTACGCGTTGTGCCGCGTCGACAGAATTGTTCTAACGATTGTAATTCGTGTTTGTGTGCAGGAATCGTCTAAAGCGGATAAAATTCGTCTGGCCTTACAAAAAATGAAGGAGGCTAGTGTAAAGAAACTATTCATCAAAGTGTTCAACGACGACGGGGGAGCAAAATCGTTACTGGTCGACGAGGGTATGCGCTGTAGTTACGTGATGCGATTGTTAGCCGACAAACATCACATTAATCTCGGACCGCGCTGGGGGCTTGTCGAACATCTGCCGGACCTTCATATGGGTATGTCAACTAAAAAAAAAAAACCATACTTTTGCAACACGTGTTAAATTTCTGTTATTTATTTATTTTTTTTTATTTAGAACGCGTTTACGAAGAACACGAGTTGCTAGTAGACAATTTAATGTTATGGACCAGAGATTCCAAGAATCGTTTATTGTTTGTCGAGCGGCCCGAGAGGACGTTAATATTCGAAAATCCGTCGTTGTTTAATACCAGCACTCAGTCGCTCAGCCACGCGACTAGTAACTTTGCCCAAGTAAGTACACAAATCACATATTTAAAACCTAACCATGATGTTTTAGAAACAATTTTTTGTTCGATTATACTCGTAGTTTTCTTTCATTCGTTAATGAAATAACAAAGAATTGTTTAAATGATACTATAATTACCACGTGTGGTATAAATTCAAAAATATCGTTATGTTAAGCGATTTGTATTTAATAAGCTACATATTAACCTATAATATTGACTTAGGTTGTGGTCTGATATGCGCCCTAACTCGTTTTAAAAAACGTCGTTATCAAGTTTTCGATTATTTTTAAACGTATTTTCGTCAGTAATATGTCATGCATCGGATCGCAATCCGCTTTAGCGACTTGTATTTACCGTACGAATAATTATTATATATTATAATATCAATAACACCGGACCTATATTAATCAACTGTCGCAATACCGTCAATATTTGCTAATCCGCGTTTTTTTTTTTTGCTCCGCAGGAATACTTTTGCAACGGCGGCCTCCCGAGCGTAGAAGGCCCGCTATACATCAAGACCGACTCGAGGAAGGGCTGGAAGAAGTACCATAGCGTGCTCAGGGCTTCGGGCCTGTACTATTATAAGGACAAGGCGTCGCGGTCGCCGAAGGATCTCGTCTGCCTGGCCACGTTCGACGTGAACCAGGTGTACTACGGCGTTGGCTGGCGGAAGAAGTACAAGGCGCCCACCGAACACTGTTTCGCGATCAAGCACCCGTGCCTGCAGCAGCCCAAGTCGACCAAGTACATAAAGTACGTGTGTGCCGAGGACGAGCGGACGTTGCACAAGTGGATGTCGGCCATAAGGATCGTCAAGTACGGACAGCAGCTGCTCGACAACTACGAGTCGGCGCTGGCCGGCGGAGACGGTGACTCGGCGCAGACGTCGTCGTCCATGTCGCCGGCGACTCCGTCGTCGTCGTCTGGCACGTTGCTGCATCGGGGCGATGGGTCGGTAGGACGAGGATCGGTGGGACTCGACGACGACGACGCGGCCACCATGATGCTGGACGACGGCGAGAGCGGACTGTCGTCTGACTCCGGAGGTTCGTCATCCGGTTGCGACGTGGCGTTCGAGTCGGACTATCCGCCGTGCGGCACTATCAAGAGGAAACCGCCCAAACTTCCGCTGACGGCCACCACGCGCCAACTCACCTGTTCCGCAACGGAGACGTCGGCGGCAGCAGCGACGGCGTTCGCCGCGGCCACGGTGGCTGTGGGCCAACAAAAACCCGTCAAGTCGGTCAAGTTCGCCGACCACCACCTCCACCAGCAACCGTCATACCAGCAGCACCATCACCAGCAGCAACTGCAGCAGTACCAACAGTACCATCACCACCACCAACAACAACTACAGCAACAACAACAACAACAACAACAACAACAACAACAGTACCTTCACCATCAAATGCAGCACCGCCGGACGCCTAGTCTGGAATCGTTGCCACCTCCTCCCCCCGAACTGTTGGTCGACCACGATGGCGGCGCCGACGACGACGACGAGCTGATGAACGCGGTGCCTCCCCCGCCGCCCAAGCTGCTGTCGCCTCCCAGTACGGCATTCCTGGCCGACCTACACCGGGTGGTGTGCAAGAAGTGGCAGGTGGCGCAAAAGTGCAAGCTCGACACGATGGCAACCCCCCACGAAGTGCTCGGATTCCGGGACCCGGCGAACGGGCTCCAAGTGCAGTACGCCGACGGCGGCGCCGCCGGCACGGACAACAACAACGCGTACAGCCGCGAGGCCAACGTCAGCAATTGGGTGGCCGAACACTACGGGCCCAACAACCTGTACGAGAACGTGTACCCCAAGCAGCAATCCGCAGGTCCGGGCCCGGCCGCTTGTTCGTCGCCGCCGCCACCGCCGCCGCCGCTGCAGCAGCCGACGGCCCAGCATCTCCGCGGAACCAACAAGATCAACAAGCGACCGCCTCCGCCGCCACCACCGAGGTCCGAGAAGACGCAACTCACCACCGTCGTCTCGTAACGACCGGTGCTGTCGTCCAATCAACTGTTCGTTTTTCAAAATTGGCTTTTCGATTTTTGTCGCGTTTGGCATGCGGCCCAACGCAGTGCGCATCGTCGTCGTTAGTCGTTGCCGTCTATTGTAATACAATGTCTTGTCATGTATTATATCTACTCATATTATTATTATTATTATTATTTTTTTTTTCTGTACAACCGAATTGTGTGATATATTTGTTAGATATCGTTTTTTTTATTCGGTTTATAGTGTAATATTATAATATATTAATACCGCTGTAGTGAACGTAGGGAAAATTAAGCCGTATTGCAGAGTATCCTGGATTGGTCAAGGACGCCGGGGTCGTGCTATGTGCGTTATGACAACCGACGTTAACTGCAACTGACTCAAGCAGACTGCATTCAAATCGCATAACCACAACATTATTGTGTGCGTTTCAGCCGTCCCGATTAAACATAAACTCATTGCCCTGTCATGTCAATGGGTTTGTCGCCAAAATGAAGTATAGCCTAATTTTTTTACTAATAAATGTCAACATTGCTACGGAATTATGACAATTGATAGTTAATATGATAATATTGATAATACCATAGACTTTTTTTACTCTATTTACTTAATTATTATATGTCTATGGATTATAAATTTCCATGTAGTATTTAAGATTTTCATTTTTGGTGACAAATTTTATTGGCAGTAAATAATTAGTAACAATAATGCCTGCTGTTGTCGACTGGCTAATTAAAATACTATGGAAAAAGTGCATAGTATGACCTCATCCTGATTGTTAATTTTTTTTTGTTCATATGGCCACAGGCGTCCAAAGGAGACAAACACATCATACAGCATCTTCCTTTACTCCTGTGTTTTGTGTTTATTAATTTTTCTTTCTACAAATAATATTGTTACTAAAAGACTGTATTTTTATTTATTTTTTTTTTTTTGTGTTAATATTAATAATCATAATTGTTTATATACATTTATATTATATGTTTATTCGTAACGATATTACAAACATAATATTGCAGTTTTGATATTGTCTTTGTTGCAATAGTATCGTAATTGGTGCTTAATTTATATATCTTTATAATAAATACATTATAATGTATGTAATATGTTAACATTTTTTTCTTCATATCACAATGTTATGTTACATGGTACAGTGATTATTATTTGCTGCCCGAGTCTTCGAGAACATTTATCTTTTTATTGTACATTAATTTCCAATCATTATAATTATGTTTTCAATTTTTTTTTTTCTGATATATATTATAATATAACTATAATAATTATAAGTTATAACAAATAAAGTAATTTGTGACTTTTATTGTAAATTAAGTGTAAAGAATTATTTTACCACCAACAATGATGTTGAAGTTCATATTTTCTTGTTTTAAAAAAAAATTATATTTTGTGTGATACCATATGCTTTTGTGTATACCATGAATTTAAATTAATTAAGCAAATTAGACAAATTTCATTTTGCTTTGAAAGTTGCTGCACTGCTGTAAATTCTAAATTTATATTGATCAAGTCAATCTATATTATGCCATATAGTCCTCCATTTTAAGAATGTAAATTTTTAAATTACCGAGAAAACCAAATACTTAAAAAACATAAAAATGTTTTTTTAATTTTATACCTATTCAACTTAAAATAAAATACATTTTATACAACATTTTCTAAACTATTCATATGCATATAGACCAAAAAAGTCATAAATCATAATTAATTAATTAAAAAGAGTAATTATTATTTATCTTTCTATAATTATACAAAATTCAATGGATATCATTAACATTTTTGATAGTTAAATTTTATATTAAAATAAACCTTTTTATATTTTACTAAAATTTTAAAATTTGTACTTTTTATACTATTGAAAAAATATTGATGATAATTTGATTCAGTAGATAATATTATTAAATTAATAATTAAAAGCGAGATAAACAGTGGAGTATGAACTTACATATATTTTGTCTTGAAAAATAAATGATTGGTGAATGTTATCAGATAATGTTTAGAGTGTTTTTATTGTTATTAGTTTTAATTTCAGATTAAATTTGATGGTCTTGTTTTTGTGAAACATTTTTATGAAAAGAAATAATTATTAATATAAATTGGTGTTATAATATAATAAATTATGCTCAAGAGTTTGTCGTCATATACATGCAATTTTAATCTTAAAATCCAATAAAAATAAATAAATTTATTAAATTTTAATAATTTTTAAAAAATAATTTTTTTTTTAAAAATAAATCCTACTTATTTATATATATATATATTATACTACTCATAGTAAATATTCGAATATTTGGAATAACATGATAAATTCTTGGTCATGAATAGAAAAAATGTATTAAATCCATAGTGTAATTTTTTTTTATAATTTTTAATAAGTAGATAAATATAATTTAAGTAATCAAAATTAGTCACTTTTTTTTAGTATTTTGTTCATTTACATAAAACTATGAAAACTTTGCGGTTAAGACATTGAAAAACTAAACATAATTGACAACATTCTCCCATGTTTATATTGAAAGACCAAGGTTCAATAATACCGTTATGATTATTTTTTGCTGAATAATATTGGATTGCGCAGGACTATTTTTATTAATTGTTTTTTTAGTACAAAACAAGTTAGTAGAAGTAGTGCCATAACGTATAGAAATCACTTCATACTTGTAAACATTTTTGTAAATATATTTTATAATAAAGATTCTTGTTTTGTTTAAAAAAGTATATGATTCATAAATAATTTATTTGCATTATAAAAACAAATAAAACTTACCGATGTTATTTTTTTTTTTAAATAGAATTATATCTAGTGTGATAATGCTTGTAAATGTGATGTAGGTATTTTTTTTTATTTTTACAATGAAAATGCTGTAACTAGTTTTTTCAAAAATACATTTTATACATATAAAGTTGAAAACCTTTGAAAAATACGTTTTTCATCTTTATAAAAAGAATAAACAAATATATATATAATATCAATACATTGTTATATTTTTATTTTTTTTATAAATTATTTTTAGTTGCCTATATAGAACCCCTTATAAGTAATTATGTTAACAATCAAATTATTCAAAGATATAAAGTTATGCTTATACAACATAATAATATTTAGAATTTATTTTCATATTTTATAATAATAATAATAATAATAATATGTCCTATTGGCTATAAATGTGGTTTTCCAAATTTTCTCATCTAGTATTCTATTATTTTGTCGTCATGTAAATATATTAATTTATGTACACTTTAAATTAAAACAATGTTGTGATAAAAATATTCAACGTGTTCCGGTTGAAAGTGATCGGCTTGTGTCGTAATATGATAATATACCTTAAATTATAGAAAAAAACTTTTTAAAGGAAGGGTGTAACTTTTTTTATTTTTTTTAGTTATTGGTAGTTACACTTTATTTCAAACTTAGCTAAACCCTAGCCTGATTGTTGATATTTCTTCAGAACTTTTCAACTTTTTATCGTAATTTTTTTTAAATTTTGAAGTTATTTTATTGTGTTAACAACTAACATATATAATTAAACCACAAACAGATTAAATTAAAAAAAAAAAAATTGTAAAAGATTAGAATTTTGAAAATTAAAATACATATACTCAACTCCAAATAAAGACGTATTTACTAATTTTTATTTTTTTTAAATTATTTTAATAAATAATCCCTAAAATGTCTTAAGTTTTGTTTTCGTATATTTCATAATTTTTAATTAATATGCTGCGACGTGATTATTAGAATTAATTATTGGTTTACATATAAGGTTAGACAAAGCAAAAATTGTTCATACTGTGGTTTATTATGTAATATATAATAGACCAGTAGCGTATTTATGGAGGGGATAACTCCCTCCCCTTGCATTTTTTTAAGACCCTTATAGGTATAATAGTATATTTGTAACTTATAACTTTGTTATCCTGTGACCTTTGAGTGAGATTATCATTGATTAAATATACATGTATAATCAATAAAATTACATAATAACGAAAACAATATATAAATATATAAAATTAGACTTTATTTTATAAATTAATAAAACGTGTAGTAAGAGTGAAATGTATTATATTAATTTATCATTATTATAAAATTCCTTATACAGAGTAACTGAAGTTAAAAAGTTGCAACACCTATACCCAATTTTATTTAATGATGAAAGACTATTTTGGGCTGGGATACCAAACACTAGCATTAAACATATCATACACAATTTTTGAGGGACTTTATTAGTTATTTCATTTATATAAGCACTAAAAATTTATTTCATATCCCTCTTCTAAGAAAAATCATATATATATACACATGTATAGAACATAATTGTGTGTTGTGTGTTCGTTAAAGCTTAATTGTTCGTATTTAGTTAGCAAATGTACAGTAAGTTTGGTCTTAATTATAAAAAAAGAAATTAATTTTATCACAACTAAAATAATAAAAGCGTTAGATCTTCATTTAAATAGACTTTTTTTCATAATTTCAGATATGACAATGGCCGGCAATTCCTCCCATCACGAAATACATTGTATAGCCTTAATGATACAAAATTATGTCATATAAGTTATATAATGGTATTAAGTATATTATACCATAATATAATTTTAAATTGAAAAATCAAAAATGTATTAACTTAAATTTTTAAGTTAGAATAAACTTTTATACGTCGAAATAATGTTGTGATGTAAAAGGTTGTAGAGAAAACATCACAGGAAAAATATATAAATTTATTGCATTTATTTTATTTTAATTTAATTTATTTTGCGATTTTACGTTAAAATAATTGTTTTGCAGATAAGTAAAATTTATCAATTTCTAGCCAGCATACAGTTGTTCGTTATAAATCATAATTCATACAAGAATATGCTGAGCTAACTTCATGCACGGTATAAACATATCGTACATTGAACAAGATACTTTTAATTTATAATTTAGCAGTTTATATTATTTATAAGTTCATAATATTCAGAAAAATATTTTGTTTCGGAACATTAAATATTCAATACAGTTAAAGTTTAAAAAATAATGATTATACTATATTATATAGGTAATAAAGTAAAGTTTGTTTTCTGAAATGTAGTTTTGTAAGGACTTCAAATAATGCGAAAAAAATATTCAATAATTAAAATTATCCATAGAAATTGAAATTAATTTAAAATGAACTAAATATACAAAATGTACTTAAAGAAAAATGTAAATGAGTTCATATATATTAGCTAATATTTAAAAAAAATAAATAAACAACACTTGACTAAGCAGGTACTTTAAGAATTTTTAAAATATTTTATTAATTATAAACAAATTAAGATACTTAATATATTGAAGTTTTTACACATAATAATACCTACAGTTAAACAGATCTTTTTAAGATTATTTATGGATTAATATCTTATAGTAAACTATGGTTTTTAAATTAAAAATTGACTGTATAAAAGACATTTCAATTTTAATAAATAATACATTTTTACCTTTTATTAAAGTGCATAAAACAATTTATAATTATTAAGTATTGGTTATTTTTGAATAATTTTAAATATTTTTTTTTTATGGAGACATTTGAAAACAATAGTCTACAAAGATTTACCAGATTTAAAAAATAAAATTTTGATTGCGTGTAACAACCTTATTGACAATAAAAAATGTAAGAAACCAATAGAGGATGTCTACAACGTTATCAATTATATGTGTCGAAAATAACGGAGAACATTTTAAACAATTTATTTAATTAATTGTCTAGTTATAAAATAACTGCTGTAATCGATATTAAATAAATAAATGTATACCCATTACCCATATTATGTAAATGTTGTTATAAAGACGTATAAAAAAAAAAAAAAAAATACGTATAAAAGTATTCAAAAATTAACTAATAATAAATAATTATAAATGGTTTTATTATAATTGTCTTCATACGGCTGCAAAAGTCGGTTTTCGATCACACTTTTTCCGTTATAAAATGTAAAATTATTCAAGCTATTGATCCACTACCTTTTATGCAGCATTGTTATTTCCTATCGCAATAAAAACAACAATAATCGTGAACTTTCCACCAGTAGGTATATTAAAATGTTATTAATACTATTATAATGTCCAAGTGATGAAGATAAAAATTCACTGATGGGTCACGGGTACCCAAATATTAATGGGTTTACTAGCGATTAAATATAGAACGATGTCTAGTATAAAATGAACCTATAAAATTGATCATGTTATTATGATGTATAAAAATTATTATAAGGCCATATTATTTTGATAATTAATATTTTGAACGAACATATAGCTTATTGATTATCGTTAGTATGTCTGATTTAAATTATTAATTATACGCTATAAAATATATCGTATATGGTATATACCAGGATAAAGTGTGTACATGTACCTATAGTATACATTATGGTTTTGTGATAATGAACAATATTTTTAAAATATTCATAATAATAATTGTCCATTAAATAAGAACCAATGTTATGATATCATATTTATAGGATTATTATACAAATTCGGTATTCTTCGGTACGCGATAAGGCCATGGCGGTTGACTGTATGGCTTATGAGATCTATCATAATTTAAATCGAATCGATATTGTCTCTGTCTCTATCATCTACAGCCAGTTCTCAGCGCGTGTTGCTATATTTCTGTAGTCTTTCATTTTTATCCTAAAGCTGAAAAAATTAATTAGCAGTGTCTATTAGATCTATCCAATGGTTTCATGAAATTACATGTATATAATCAAAATAGTTTATATTGACATCGAGTTTTTAGATCAAACCAGTCTCACGTTTTCATTTCACTACAGTAGTGATCTGCGACGGTAGTGGCGCTAGAAATACGACTTTGCTTCTTCACGACCTCGTAGGTTAAACAACGGTTAGTGCCCACTACGGTGCCGCGCTGTAAATACGTATACACTGGCGGTCGTCTCCTTGGCCTGGAACCGAAAAATATTTAACTAAAAAATATAAATTAAACTTCACTTGTTGGCCGTTTTATTTGAACGTGGAAAAATGTTTACTCAATCCGTTTTCGCACGGAAAACCATGATTCTCGCCGTCGCATTTATTTTTTCGATAGCCACCGTAGCGTACTCCGCTAACGCCGAATCCGTTCGCATGTGTATAATCCAAAAAAACCCAATCGCCGAGGAACATAATATAAACCCTCTGCACAATATCTACGGTGAAACGTGAGTACACACATCAACATTTATATTGTGCTTTAGGAAGAGACATGAGAGAACGGAGTAGGGCCTCATCTGTCCTCTTTATTTTATTTTACAAACTTTTAGCGTATCTTTCGTACCTAAGTATATCCTAATCAATATGATATTTAAATCTTCTAGTATATAACCGCGCTTTTATTTTTTTACACTTACATCCCTCATATTTTTTTGAATATTGTAACCTATATGCGTACCTATACCGCCGTCATAAAAATAATATATAATGTTGTAAAAACGAGACAAAATCAACAAACGTGATAATAATTTCAAAAACATAATATGTCATAGTCATATAAATTTTGACAACTTTGTAGTTTTAATTCTATTAATTTTGACAAACTAATATTATCTACACAATAAGATATATCTTAGGAATCATTAAGATTCTAGAATCAATTATAAATACTTATAGAATCATTTAAAGGTTGTATAAAATAGTTTATGTTTTTTGTTTATATCAATAGTATTTTGCGGAACATAAAAATATTTCTGTAAATTATTACTTTGTATCACTATAATATAATAAAGAAATAACAATAAATACTAGAGAGTCTGATTATATGGTTTCTCAATATAAGTGTATGTATTAATTACCTAATTATCAATTACCGAGTTGGCCCAATCAGGTATATTAAGTAATTAGAATATAAAATAATAAATGTTGACTGCAGCATAAATAATTGAAAATTGATTTTGTGAAAATAAATGCTGAACGACATATAATAATTTACACTCATGACTACATTCAAGTATAATTTTAATATATAATATTTATACGTCATGATAATGTATAAATGTTTAATAATACTAGACATATTTAAAATTTAATCACGTGGAGTCAATTAATATCTCTTTTGAAACATTATGCTAATAGAAAATAGGTAGATAACTATATTTTATTATCATTATTAATTATTATTATCTTTAAAATATTTTTATGTGTTCTATATCTATTGAAATTCGTAAATAGATCGACACATTGTACATAGTAGGTACTTAAACCTAATAAATTTTAACATCTAACTCTATTTATCATTATTATTAATTATTAAATATTAAAAAAAAAATTAGACCTAGTTTTAGATAACTTTATTTATATTCTCATGTAAATCATTTTATATTTTTAATCCAAATAAGTCTTACAATTTTTGTATTAAATCCAGCAATTATACCATTTACGTTAATTAAATTGCATATTTGTTTATTTTTTGTTATACGATATTGCTGAATGGTTAGTTCCTCGTATCGTGTAATCTTAATGACTTAAATACCATTTTTATTTTAATGTGCATATATTTTTTATTCTAATTCAAATTATATTTTTAGAACAAAATTGTAGTGCATTTTAAACGATTTTGAATATGCAATATCATTTGAATATTAATTAGGTATTAATTGGTTTATGGTATAGACTGAAATAGTGTATTATAATCTTATAAATATCTGTAAAAAAATATGCATCTATATTCTAAACTGTATTCCCAACGATTATTAATAATTATACTTGGCGATTATAAAATATTATATCATTGCACAGACATTAATTAAAAAACAACAAACACAATATTAATACTTTAAATAAGTATAGATTACATTATAGTCATATAATAAATGGTTGACGACGGAAGCATTAATATTGATAATAATTGGATTATGCAACTTTTTTTTTTTTTTTTTTAATGAGCTAGACATTGATTCCAAAGTAGACAATTAATTTGGTATACCAAACGATGCATTATCCGATCATCGTAGTTTTAATACCAGCTCTATAGTGATACAATTAATAATATAGTCGTCAGTTTGTTTTTATTTTGGTTATTATCCACAATGATGATCGATGAAAAAAACGTATTCGGTCACTAAAGCACAATAATTTATTAACGTACGTTATTTATTCGGTCAAAACTCAAATTTTTATTTAATAGAAAGATAGTGACATTCGATGTTTCATATATTAAGTTGGATATACTGGAATACGATCTCCTGCATACCCGCAGACAAAAAACAACGTAGGAATATTTTTCATTTCCATATTCCATGTTTTGTACTGGTTGAACGAGTAGTATACGGATTTATCATACCTACGTATTTGTGTATTTATTTATACGACACATATTTTATATAATCATGTTTTAAGTTACTATGAGATGTTGGACGGCAGAATTTTAAAATAATAAAGTGTTTGATATTAAACCAAACAACCGTGTTTTTGATTGGTTAGGTTAGTTTTAACATTAACAAAACATTAACTTGAAACGTGAAATCATATCGAAATTGTTAAATGAATCGAAGATTTTAACTGGTGACCTATGCATATTATTATGCTAATATAGGTACATCATACAAGTTTATTAGATAGTATAATATTATGATAAAAAAAATGTGTCAAACAGGTTTAACAAGTAATTACTATTTAGTACCTATTTCACATTTTGGTTAGTTGTTGGTCTAGCCTAGTGGTTTCTAGACTGTGGAACGTGGCTCCCTCGAGAGGAGCGATAAAAATATTGATATTGTACATAATATACACTATAAGTACTAATCTAGTACTATACACTAATAAAAATTTCTGTTTCATTTATTTAAGGGTGGTGCGATTGAATTTTTTTATTTTTGATGGTGCATGAACCAAAAAAGTTTAGGAATTGCAGGTCTAATCCATACATTTTTTTATACTTGTGTATAAAATTACGTACATAACTACTATAAAAGATGAATATTTTAATTCGACATTTGTGCTCAAATAAATACGTTGAATCAACTCAATATATTTATGTGACGATCACGATTTTATCCACAAATAATACAAATTGTTTTAATTCATATTATACGAGTATTTGTATGGGTTGGTCGTCATTCGTCGGATTAAAAGAAGTAAATTAAAAATTATGTATAGGTATTATACTACAAATGTTTGATTTTGTTAGAATATTATGTACGAAAATAGAACGATACCTACATTTCATTTTTATTTCACTAATAAGATTAAGTTTCTTATAGATTGTTTATCTGTACCAACATCATGATAAAATTACATTTCAATAATTTTATTTATTGAGTTAATATTTAATTTCGAAATCGTTTTCTTCATCCTGGGGCTAATGTACATATACTCCATATTAAATAACATTCATCATGGGATGTAAGTGTAAATGTTTAATACGATATGTCCTTGAATACTGTATTCTTGGCAACATAAACATTTTCATGCTTAATTATTTATTCCATATGTCCAAGTTTTGTTGTATTTGTTGCAAAATATTTTCTGATTAAAAAGTATAAACGAATAAACACGTAAATTGACTAACAAAGAAAACTTTTCTTCAAATAACAATTCATGCTTAAAATTTAAATTATATTGTATAGTTAAAATATCTATGACATTAATTGTTATATTCAACAATTTAATTATAAATTAAACAGATAAAATGTATGGTTATTAAATTCGTTATCTATTTAACTTATATTTTGTATTAATATCAAATAACATTAATGAACTATAAAATAAAATATTAATTATTACTTAAAGTAGATAATTGATAAGATTATGATTTATATGCCTACGCAAATAATAACATAAAATATTGTATTTTTTAGTTTTTATGTAAATATAATTTTACCGTATTAATAAATTATAGTAAGATAAAAATTTGTTCAAAAATATAAGAATAAATATAATAATTTATAAAACTCATAAGAATCTTGAATTTATAATCAATAATAACATTTTCTCCATGTAGAAGAAATATATAGAACAATTCCTAAATTACTCATGATCGAATCTTTTCACTTTGTACATCTAATTATACTAATGTGACTATCTTTATATTAAATATTACCAATGAATAATTGATGTATGTTAAAGATAGCTAAAAAAATTTTTTTTATAACCTTTGAGTATTAGATTTTAAGTGAAGTGATGAATGTATTTTACAATGATTTTTTTGTGTGCATGTACACTAAAATCAATTTTTGGTACTTAGTATTTTAAGTGTCACTCAAAAAAAAGAAAACTGTAACTTATTGAAATTTTCACCAAATACTTATATTAGCATTTTCTATAAATAATACAATTTTCAATTTTTTTTTCGTGTTTTTTAAGTTATACATAGACATTTAACAATTTTAATTTTCTATATTTTTTTATTGGACTTATAAACTTGAAAATTTAATGCAAGATTCCTCATAATAAGTTTATACTGAAAAATTTGAAATATATATTTTATACATTTCTATACAAAATGGACAAAATTTAATATTTTAACGAAGGGTTCCGTTTCTAGTTAATTTATTGTGATTCAAAAATATTTTACTTGATATTTTGAAATTCAGCATGTATTATTATATTTTATATGCAAAATAACATTTTCAAAACATTTAGAAGATTTATTATATGTTATTGTCTATTAAGAGTCTAAACCATATTACTATTATAAAAATAAATTAATATGATAAATTAATAGCAATATATTTGTCTATATACTTATAGGCTGACAGACTATTTTTGCTCTGAATTGTTTTTTATATACAATTATTAAATTCAGATTTAACACATGACAGAGATGAACTCAATGATTAGACAATACTTCTAAAGCACAATGATTATTTACTTTCCTTTTCTATTTTTATTTATTATTTTACTAATATCGTTGACTAGTACAAAATTATTTTATTTTTTATATTATTTGGTAATCATGCCAATATTGTATATTAAACACGTCTCGTAAGTAGTTCTTTTCATATGTACCTACTTTATAAATTATACATATTTCATACTTTGATACATATAAATCATATAACTATATAAATTATATGAATCCATTCATGTTCACATTCTATATTTTTTTAGTTTGATAAAAGTAATTATATTGTTTAATATTGGCATGAAAAAATGCTGTAAATACTCCAAATTGAAACTCGAAAGTTGCGATATTGATGTGGAGATGTGTTAAGATGTTAATAATTTTTTCATAGAATTATTATATAATTAAATTATAACAAATATTCATCTAAAAACACTTATTATATTTACATAAATACTTCTATAATTCTAGTATTTACAATCAATAGGTAGATACTAGATATTTATATAGATTATAATTATAAATTATTAGTTATGACGATAAACTTTAATTTTATTATATTAATACTCATATTAAAAAATATAATACTGTAATCGGTTTTTTTTTTGTCTAATTGTTATTTATCTAAACATAAAAAATTGAATAATAGGTACTTATGTAAATAAAACATATTTTTTCAAATTTTTTTTTTTATTTTTCTACACAGACTGATAACTGAGTGGAATGAATATATTTATGTCGTATCAATTTGCTGTAATGTACCGGAAATGTTTTCTGATCCCAGAAAAATGACTGGTGCTATTAAATTAACGGCTGATGGCAAAGCGATCGATCTTGGACACATCGACAAATCTAGTGTCATAGTTAACGGTTTGATTTTATTTGCTGTTTAAAATATCATGTAAATATGCTTTATCTTGTTTGTTACGTTTCTAGAGAATAGTATTATGCTTACATACACTAGTGGTGATCGAGACAGATATACAGAAGACACTTGCAAAGGTTTTCGATGGAAAACACATGTGAAGTTCTTATGTGATCCGTCAGTAAACCAAGTAAGTTGTTACTTAAAATTGTTGTGTTTTAAAATATAGAATATATTTAAAGATTTCCAAAACTACTAATGAAATTTAAAAATGTAAATAACGATTACAGTTTTAGGTAGGTACATAAACTATAGGTAATCATGAAATATAATATATGTGTAAAAAGTAGTTAAAGCTTATATAGGCACCACTTAACTATTAGTTTTTATAAAGCATTTAAGCAACACAATTACGTATACTATAACTGTATAAGAATATAAGATATACTTCTTGACAAAATATGTTATGTTATTTAAAAATGTTTATTACTATTGCAGTATAAAAACGTGACTATATTTTTCCTCTTATAATGGAACTCCTGTACATTTCAACAAGAAAACACATTTATTTTTATTTATTTTTTTTATTATTTTTTTTCGCATAAAATGACAATAGTAAAAATAAGTAAGACATAATATAAAATAATCAAATTTAAACAGTTTGGTAGTCTGATTTTCTATGTTTTGTTAGTTGAACAAATTTTGTTTAAAATGCTAGGTTAGATTTTTAATTTAGAATACATATTTTTACATAGCTTTTTATTATTTAATAGTTATTAGTAGGACAGAGAAGTTATAAGAAGTAAAAGTGGAAAAATATGTATGCAAATATGCATATAAAAAATTTTAAATATACATTCAAATTCATTAAACATGCAAAATAATATGAACAAAAAAATTGTATTTTAATGGAATAAAAAAAATTGGTATAAAAGATAAATAATTGCATTGCACAACTAATGTTTTTTAAATATTTTCTATGTCGAATAATCATCGATGTCAGCCAGTATGGATTTATATTTTATATCTAGAAAAATTTTATTAGTATTTATAAAATGTTAAATCATTTCCCGTTACATTTTTTGGTAAACCATCTATCAATGAACTTTCTACATTAAAAATTTTTAAAATGTTTAATATTATTGCAAACCCATTCATTTTTTCCAAAACTTGGTTAAATTTGGTTTTTACCTATACTATATTATAATATCATTTAGTTTTTAATTAATTAAAAATTGGGCTCAAAAATGTATGAATATGTATAACACTTGCATAAAATATTCACAAAATAACAAAATATGCGTTTAAAAAAAAAAAAATGTTCAAAACACTTATATGCAAAAAAAAATGTTAATGTTTCAACTATGGGGCTTATGACTTATATTTATATCTCAGTTTGCTATAAAATAGAGCTCAAAATAATGCAAATCCTATAATTTCTCTGCCTTAGTTATTAGTTGATTACGTATATTATCATTGTCGTCCGGTGATGACACTGATCTATCGGCTATTATTGAATGACTGTAAAGGGTGCCAACATATATATTATGAAATATGTACGAACGATTGACGATACGGCTGTGATAACGAATATAATCTTATATTATAAAAGGTGCTTTCCTCGACGTTTCACATCTCCCAAGCCTTTGTAGAGTCTGGCATTTGGGTCTTCTCTATAAATTAAAACTTCTCTTTCTTAACCACTACTATCTGATTTTCAAATTCTACTTTGAAATCGGGTTTTTTCAGTACGAGTAGGTTCTTCTTTTCTTATTCTGCTGAAAAAAAGCAGGCGTACCACAAGGCGCAGTAGTTGCTCTCCTACTCTTCAATATCTATATCTCAGACCAGCCTACCTCACCTTATGGCTTATACTCTTGTCGGCGACTTTGCTGATGACAAAGCCTTACTAACAACAAACTCAGATTCGGTCCTAGCATCTTCTTACATTCAAGATTATCTCAACACCCTTGAATCATGGTGCAAAACTTAGGGTGTAAAAATAAATGAAACCAAGTTCATTCACGGTACCTTTGCGCTTTGCCACGAAATATGTCCACCACTTTACCTTAATAATCAACTGCTTCCTCCTGCTCAGTGTGTACGTTACCTCGGTATACTTATTGACCGACGTCTTACCTGGAAATCTCACTTAATAAGTCCGTACACTTAATGACCGCTTACGACTCCTTCGACCACTTCTAACATCGAAGTACACGAAGCTCTCCAATAAACTCCTGTTCTACAAACTTCTTCTTAGGCCCATCTGGACCTATGGGATTCAAGTATGGGGCGCTGCTAAAATTTCCAATCTAAATCGCATCGAAAGATTTTAATCAAAAACTTTACGCACAATATTAAAAGTGCCATTCTATGTCTCTAACTACACCCTCTACAACCCCCAAAAAAAATTAAATTAAATGTCATTTGCATCACATCTAAAAATATATTTTGGTAATTTGCGCCAAATAAAACTAAATAAAAAGGCATTATGTACCTAGGTACTAAATTTGTAATTTTCGCCACTAATATTAAAATTATAAATAAATGTATGTAAGTAAAACAAACTCCATGTATAGTAAATAAGTAAATTTTTGTTTAGTAATAAAATGTATAAAAATCAATATAAAAATTATATTGGACACGCGTTGGTATGTATTATTGTATATCCTATGCGATATCAGTAAATTTATCTGCTGGTAAATTCCAACTGCAATTAAAGTTGAAAGTGTGGCGAAAATTTCATATTCCATTTCATTTACTGCCGAGACGCCAAATATCAAAATTAATTTGTTTGTGTGACGCAAAAATGCAAAATACTATTATAATTTTTATTTTTTGGCGCAAATTACATACGTAATTAAATGCACCTATTCGTGGCGCAAATTAAAAGTAATATAATCGACGCAAAATACTATCTTCCATAATAACACATTGTTATGAAATTTTAATATTTAAATTTTTATATTATGGTTTATACAATATTTTACTGTAGTAAACCTTGTTATTTTTAATGTTGTTTTTATAAAATGCAAATTTATATGCTTAATAAAATATGAAATTATGTTTTAGGATGTTTTAACATTGATTAAAGAAGATCCCGAACATTCTGAAATATGTCAAGTGTGGTTTGAAGTAAAAACATCTAAAACATGTAACTGGCATTCAAATACACCATTAACTGTTTCGGAAAATGATTTTTCTATTAGTGAAAATCTGGTAACCAAATCTGAAGAGTGGAGGGTAATAAATAGTATTTTTTAAACCAATGTAAATTACAGTTAATACTAATATTCATCTTATACCGAAATTGCTGGCAGTGATATTATTTTAAAATTTAAATACCTATTATTTTGTATTTAACTACTCATGCTGAGATTTCAAATTCTATTTTGCTACTAAAAAATTACAAAAAAAAAAAATTTAAATCAACACCTTCGTGATTTATGAAATTAACTAGTATAGTAACCGGAATTTTAAATTGTAATATAACAAACAATTGTAAATTACTAACTGAAATTAAATTTTATAAGTCATAAATCTATTGAAGTAAATTCACGTTCAACGTTCAACAGGACCAATATTGAGTTTTTTAATAAATTTATTGCTTAATTTAAATTTAAGTATATTGTCTGTGTTTTTATTTTTACTTAATTTTTTTTTTTTTTTATAATACTTAAATTTTTATTCCAGTTATGAGTATATAAAACAATATGATTTAATATTATACATACTTCGATTATAAATTAAATTATCGTAAAAACTAACTTACTAATACAGTTGAATGTTTATGTTACATAAATAAAATAGATACATTTTATCTAACTTATGAAAACAAACAACATAATATTAATTCAGCTGAATATAAATATAATTAGTTGCGAGTGGGTCAGAGATAAAAAAATAAATATTGTGCTGATATATTTTTAAAATAATACATTTATTAATAATATTATAAAACAAATTTAACCACTCGTTATTATTGTTTCAGACTGATTATGATAAATACAATGTAAGAGAGTCAACCAATTTCCATAATATACCTTTAAATAACGAGGAAATTAAAAATAGAAACTCAATTAAAATTACTTCAAAAGATCAGAAAAATCAATTCGACAATGAAAATTATTTAAATGAGTATAAAAAGTCACTTTACGAGAAAAGTGAAATGGAGAAAGCTAAAGGAGGTAATTTAAAAATAAATACACCCGAAGACAAAATGTTGATAGATCATGAGAATAATTATAATTATTCAAGTAATGATTTGGAAAATAAACTTAATAATTCCAAAATTAACAACTTAATAACTGTTCCTGTTATATCACTTAATAATGAATACAGTTATCCTGGAAAAAATGAAAATATCTTGAGATATAATAATTTGAAAAAATATTTAAATAAAAATAAAAATTCGGAAAGTAAAAATGAAAATTTGCTTATAACCAAGTTAATAAAAAAAGATCAAAATAAAAACGGTAAATTAAACCAGAATGTTTCGGAAATAGAAAAATTTTTAAGACAAAACACATTTGAAAACCAAACATCAAATAAAGAAATTAATGATTCTGAAGATAACAAAATACCATCAGATAACGAAAAAAAGTTTAATCAAGACTATTTAAAAAAATCGAATTTAAATAACGATACTAAAAATAACACTTTGAACTCATACAACGGGGTTTTAAATAGTATAATCAACGAAGGAAAAATAGCCGATACTTCAAATCAAAGCCAATCAAAAGATAACACATCGATTATTTATGATGATAATAAGGTGCCAGATGATACAATTACAAAAAATTATGTAAATCAAACGTATTCGCAAAGAACTAATCTGGAACCCAAGTCATTTCAAAAAGTAGATTCAAAAACTGTAATGAAAAACAATAACTCCAACATCAATAATTCCATGACCCCCCGTAAGGACTCTGAAAATAAGCCAATAGTTAGTGAAGATACTGTTGATACTAATCATATTTATGTGACAAAACAAAATGCAAGTGATGATAATACAATTATCGACGCAAATGAAAAGAATAAAATTAAAAGTAATTATAATTTAACTAGTGGTAATGATGAAAACGCTTTTGTGGTTACTATTCAGTCGACAACAAATAATCCATCAAATAAAAATGAAACTAGTGAAGTAAATGGTTCGTCTACTGAATCATCATCAGTCAACACGTCGTTAAATAATATTAAAATGAATAATAAATCAGAATCAAATGATACAAGTATAAATAATATAGACAACGTTAACAAAAACACACAACCAGATCAATTGGAACCGAAATCTAGTGCAAAATTATCGGATAATATAACAACAATAATTATTCCGTCAAATAAAAATGAAACTGGTGAAGTAAATGGTTCGTCTACTGAATCATCATCGGTCAACACGTCGTTAAATAATATTAAAACGAACAATAAATCAGAATCAAATGATACAAGTATAAATAATATAGATAACGTTAACAAAAACACACAACCAGATCAATTGGAACCGGAATCTAGTGCAAAATTATCGAATAATATAACAACAACAATTATTCCGTCAAATAAAAATGAAACTGGTGAGGAAAATGGTTTGTCTACTGAATCATCGGTCGACAGGTCGTTAAATAATATTAAAACGGACAATACATCAGCATCAAACGATACAAGTGTAAATAATATAGACAATGTTAACAAAAACGCACAACCAGATCAATTAGAACCGAAATCTAGTACAAAATTATCGGATAATATAACAACAATAATTATTCCGTCAAATAAAAATGAAACTGGTGAAGTAAATGGTTCGTCTACTGAATCATCGGTCGACACATCGTTAAATAATATTAAAACGAACAATAAGTCAAAATCAAATGATACAAGTATAAATAACATAGACAACGTTAACAAAAACATACAACCAGACCAATTGGAACCGGAATCTAGTGAAAATTCATCGGATAATAATAATAATAATGATAATTTAAATGCTACTACAAATAGTGCAAATCAATCAGAAAACAACTTCAGTTTTGGCGATTTTTTTTCGAATATCTTCAATGACGGCATACATGTCAGTGCAGCAAAAATAACTGGAGCAGTGTAACTATATATTAAAGCTTATTATAAGATAAAATAAATTATAAATATGTATTTTTAATATCCTAATATTGTAATGTTACAGAGTTGTATTGTTATCTGGTGTTGGAGTTGTTGGAACAGCCATAAATCGTTATTATTATAAAAAAACTGGTACAGATCAAATACCCTTTAAAGGAACGTTTCAGTCAATTATTAATAAAATTAAAGTATGATATAAAAGTTTAAACGATGCAAAAATATCTGTGTATCACCATATTTTTATTTTTATTTTTTTATTTTTTATTTTTTATTTTTTATTTTTTTTAGGTTTGCTGTTGTTGTTGTTGTAATTTTTCTGGCGACGACTTAGAAGCACAAAATTCTACGAGTGAAAAATCGCCTCTTTTACAACCTAAAAATATATCGTCACCGCTATTGGTAGATGAAACGTCTCAAAAATCCAAAAAGCGCAGTAAAAGAAGTGACGACGAAAAACAGCAAAAAAGTGATAGCGCTGACGACGATAGTAGTCAACAAAATAGTAACAAAGATTATGGGAGTATGAAAAATGTAAAAAAATCGTCGGCTTTTGAAACAAAATTCTGGAAACGTAAACGCAATTCTACTATAGAAGATAAATCACTAGTGGAAAATGTCAAAGAAAAACTTATTAACGTTGAGAATAATTTGCAAAAAAAATCTATAAAAGAAGTTATGGGTGAAAAAATTAATACATTATTCACTGAAAAATTAAAACCTACAATTAAAGAAATTTTTGGAAAATTTGGGAAAACAGTTGAATCAAGTGAAGAAATTAAGAAGAATTTGGATACAATATCTAAAGATGCAGCAATAATATCCAAATTAGTAAAAAATGAAAAGTCAGTAAAAAATGTTGATGACGTAAATGTTGAAATCAAAACTGAAAATACAAATTCCCAATTAAATAATGGTGAAAAACAAATTTTGAACATAGAACAAAAAAATGAAAAAGATGTTAATAATATTATTGAAATCAATACAAATGTCGATGAAGTAAAATCACAAAATAATTCAGAAAAAGTACCTTTGAACGAAAATGAAATACACAATGCCGTAGTAGAAGAAAATAACAGTAGCATAACGTTTGACGAATCGCAAAAGTCTCAAAATGTTAAGCCTATTCGTGAAATTACCATTCCAAAAGTGTCTGTACCGGATCTTCAACAAATTGAAACGAATAAACAAGCATCCGACATGAAAAAAGCGAGTACATTAAATGAAGTTACGGCCGAAGAATTAATTAAAAATAAATATAACGGAAATACCATTTTTACGAAAAATAATATTGAAAAACTCGAAGATACCATCGTTACTCCTCTCTCAGAGACTGCGGCTAAAATTAATGAATCTAAATTAAAATTCTTAGGAATCGAAAAAGAAGATAAAAGTATACAAAAAGTGACGACAAACAATGAAAAAAAAGGAGAAAATGAAGAGGATGAATTAGTTGAAGTCATCGAAGAAGTTGTATACATTGATGGTTCTAACGGAGCTGAAGATGAAGAGATTATCGAAGAAATAATAGAAACTACTACAATCGAAGAAGAACCTGACTTTTTGGACGAATCTGGTTCGGGACACACCAAGGTTACAGTCCGAACAACTCGTAAAATATCATCATCTTCGTTGCCCGGGGAAGTGACAACCACCGAAGAGACTGTGGTCACTGATGGTATACCAGAAAATAATAGAAAATTGTCTGGTTTTGAGTTGGGTATTGGAAAATCCGGAGTCAGCATAAGTGACGGCGATAAAAAGTTGGAGGTCGGTGTGCCCAATTTGAAGCTGAATCGCAGCAAAAGTAAATCGCCGAAGAACGTAGGTGATAGTCCTGATAAGCGAGACACCAAGTCTCCAGAAAAATCAAAGAGGTTAATATCGATGCCCAAAATATTTAAGAGATCTATTTCTCAACCGTCTGGCGATGATATCCAAGAAGCTGAGAGCGAGTCACAGTTGGGATCTACAACTACTAAGAAATCGCCTCGGCCTAGTGCTGGCTTATTGATATTTGGAAAGTCACGATCCAAATCTTCTATGATCCTTGATGAAAATGACATCAAGACGAACACAGGTGTGGTGTCAGACTTCATTGATAACGAACAAAATGCGTCTCGTATATCGAATGAAGGACTAGGTGAATTCGACAAAGCCGCAGATAATGCAGATGTTAACACTACAGTGGTTGTACGTAAGACGTCCACAACAACTTCTACAGGAAAAGATTTTTCAGCAAGCACAGATACCGCCGGAATGTCTCCTACAGGTTTAAAGTTAGAATCGGCTGAGGCCCAACAATCGTCTAAAAATGCCGACACCAAGTCGAACACCAAATCCAAACGTGAAAAAAAAGACAAAACAAAATTAACGACATTAACGCGGCCATTTTAGATTTACATGAATCTAAGAAATATTTTTAAACTTACTGTGTAAAAAACTGAAATATTATTGGTTCATTTGTGTATTAATTAAAAAAAAATATTTTTCGTTGATGCGAACTGTATCTAATAGAATTTTAAATTCAATACTCATTATTATAAAATTGTTTATGTTTGGATTTTTTTATAAATTCAACATTAATTTTATTTGTGCATATACTTGAAATTTGTTCAACTAATTTTAATTCTATGTTTCACAATTTGTTGTTCACTTATTCTTTCTACAAAATTATACTTTTAATCGAAAATTATATTCCTAAATTCAATTATTTTTATACATAAAATGTAATAATACTATTTGAAAATGATTGTGAATAATATATGTTTTCTATTTTAAATATCGAGATTGCTAATAAAAACACTTGATGTTCTTAAATGTATCATATCAATTTATTTAGACTTGAAATATAATTATATAACTTATTTCCTAATTGATTTATAAATGACCAAAATTCAAACACCAATGAAAAGTATGATAAATGTATGATGCTAGATTAATATTAAGTATTAACGTCATACCGAAAAAAATAAAACATATTTTATACAATAAATAATAAATTTTTCAAATGCGATTTATTGATTGCAGAATAATAATTATTATTTGTATGGTTATAAATATGTAGGCTCCGCTCAAAGTCAATTTTTAATCTCGATTATGTTGCGTTGAGTATGATTTAAATCACAAATTATCGTGTTAATTTATTTAATTTCATAATATATAAAAATCTTGCCATAATGTTTTTTGTTTAATTCTTCCGATCTGTTTCCTTGAATAAAGTTATTGATAATTTTTACTTTAAAGTTACATATCATATATATATATATATATATATGATATAGGTATACAATGTAATTAAAATTGATAAAATAATATAAAATCGTGAATAAATAAATACATAAAAAAATATACTGTTTTGTTGTAGCTTTTTAGATTTTTCGACGTAGGTTGAAGCTTCAACAGCCTAAGCAGTAATATGGCCTTAATGGTGGTGTACTCGTAGATATGTGCGTCAATTATTCTCTGTACTGAATGTAATAATGTATGAAATTACTGGTGATGTTTTCAAAAACATCATAAAAACCGAAATTATATTAAAAATAAACAAAATTTATAAATCCGACAGTAGCGTGGTCTGATATGTGTCGGATTACCGAAATTCTACTGTAGTATTAATATCAATACCGAAGTACCGATATTCATCATATCTCGCAATACCTATAATTAAAGTTTATGGTGCTATGACGCTATGTCATAAATTCTATTCGATTAGGTTTACCTGTTTTTTTTTTTTGATATTTAAATAAAAAGTAGGTTGAATAAAAATCCTATTTGAAATATTTAAGGTTTTTGCTTATTTAAGCATTATTTAGCTTATTAGTATTTTTTTTATTTAACAGTTAATTTAATTTCTAGAAAAAAATCGTTTTAAAAAGTTTTAATGCCATAAATTTTAAGTAGCATTGTGTATACCTACCTAATTTTGAGTATATCGTGATTTTTCTCATAATAATCTCTGCGCTTCTAGTCAATTAGCCCTTGGTTGACAAACGTCTTGTCTGCAGGGGGGGGGGAAGTAAGGATAATTGCTTCCCTTAGCTTTTTTCTAGGTCAATTATCATAATAATTATGAACCTAATATAAAATATTACAAAATAAATATTTTTTAAATTAAAAACAAAAATACAATATATTTTTTTACCAAATGATTTGTATTAAGAAAATGTCTTTATTTCGTGAGACTATAATGATCAGAAAAATATAAAACTATAAGAATTTTTCAGTGAGCATCTTATTGAGATAGTTGAACAATTACAAATAACATCTATGAAAACAGACGTTGAATGACAAATAAAAAGTCAAGCATTTTAGTTACATAATACAGCAACTAAATCAATACGTTTAATATTTCGTAATGTTTCCATACAAACCAATGTGTTTCATTTAAAACAATATCATTTTTCGTACCTATATTATACAATCAGCAATTAATACTTGCTATTTAGCTTGGAATAAGCATGTGACCTCAATGGCCCTAGATAATGATACACTAATGATACATATACCTATGTATATATATTATATGTAAAAGCATATTATAATTCTTTGTGCAAACATTTTACTATTACTGTTTGCGGTTTTAATGAAAACTATTAAATAATATGAAACCTCCAAGTGTTTGAAAAATCAAAATATTTTATAAATATAGTTATAAGCAAAATTTTGTACGAAATTAAAACTGATATCAGCTGTATAAGCCATTTCTACACTAGATATGAATTTTTAAGAAGTATAAATTATTTATGGCTTATAGATATTCTGGGCGTGATGTAATTAAAATAAATCTAGCTAAGTAAAATATAGCTATTTTAAAATATCAACATTTTAATTAGAAAAAAAGCTGTATCCGAAATTATTATCATAAAAATGTAAGAAATAAAGAGGAATAACATCTTTAAATATTGTTATAAATATTAATGATAAGATTTCTTTATTATCTAATATCTTACCAAATACAAACGTAAAATCGTAGGAAACACATTTGTTCGTAAGATTATTAATCGGTAAGAATTTATTCATTAGTAGTTATAGTGAAATTGCACAAACATTAAATTCTTTGACTATATGCCTAGGCATTTAATAAAATGACTGATTTGACTATATATGCCTACGACATATACATAATACACATGCATACAAATCGCAAAAAAAAAAAAATTGCGAAAAAAAAATAAATAAACATGAAATTTGTTCTTAAACGGGTTTGGGGTAACTTACGTTAATAACATAACGTCGTCTGCTGCAGTCACTGTGTTCGACGGTACCGATAACATAATTAACATAAATAAATAATTATCAGCCGTGCGGCGCGCGTGTCCGGCACGCGCCCACTTGAAACCATCGACGACATTTTCTATTTATTCGTTTTTCCACGCTGAATCTGGGACGGACACAAACCAGCCCCTTGCAAACCCTCTCAGCATAAGTCTCCCGCAGACGAGACCGAATGACCCGCGTTCGATCATTCGAACAGTCGTCATAGCCGTCGTCGACTTGCTGTTATATTTATTGCTTATATATTATTATACATAGTATGCGAACGACCGCAGAAACGCGTCATGAGATTAAATCGTTTATTATCGTCACACAGCCATTATCAACCCTTTTCGTTTTTTCGTTTAGTATTGACCAATACACGCGATACTGATTGAATCTTTAGTGTGGTACAGCGATTATCAACTGTAATGACTGTACCTACACCTATAGCTGCACTCATTTTCCTATTCAATTGTTGTGTTCTTACGTGGTTTTAAGTATCCTTAGTGTAATAATATATAACGCTACGTTGACTTAATTTAAGAAAGGTTATTTTGAAATCTAATTTAAAAATTCTGTAATATGTATGTATAATAATATTTGTTATGATTATTTATTTTCATTTTTTTATTATTATTTAATATTTACTACTATTTAATGTTTTTGTAATTTCTTATTATGAAATTATTATAACAAATATTAAAATTTATAATACATTTTCTTCTAAAGTTTTATGTACTCTATGCTTATAATAGTTTTGCATTTGTTTGGAATAAAATTTAATTTATAATCTTACTACTTAAAATACAAAGCTTATTATTGTTTCCAGTGTTCGCGTGTTTAAAATTACGAATCATACTATGTTTAATTTTTAATTAAATAAAATAACCAATAATTCAAATAATTATATATAAAAATGAATCGAATATATTTTATTTGAATAATTGTAAAAAAATCAATTGAATAAAATGTTATCTAAGTATTCTAAATTTATAAATACGATTCCATTCAAATAAATAAAACTTTAAAACTTAATATACCATATAAATATATAATATTTTGTAATTTCAGTTGATTAGATTGAATTGTCCATAGTGCCGTTCATTGGTTGTCTTTATATCATTAAATCCATTGAGTTTTTGAACAACTAAAAAAGATAAGTCTATCCTTACTAGATGTTTGATTGAACATTTCCGTTTAAAGTTATTATCATCTATACATTTTTAAAACGTACAAAAATAAACAAATTAAAAGAAATTTTTTTTTTCGTATAAACATTTTTCAACTGATTTCAGTAAATCATCAGAGCATAATGTGTTAGTATTTTATTATACATAGTACAACGATCTTGAAGTGCGTCCACGAACTTTTAAATATGTGTTTAAAGTACAGGTACCTGTTAGACGATGTATTCGACCGCTTTTTAGTGCATTTATAAATCCCAGTTTTAAATTATTATTCGTATAATATGGCCTATATCGAGTACTAGCTTTATAGTTAACGCGAACGCAGTAGAGGTCACGTGCCCCAACAGCGGCAGAACACAGAAGCACGCGCAATGTATTAATTTAATACAATATTATGTACCTACCGCTGATCGGTGTTTACCGTTCCCACCGCGTATATGTTTGCACAGTCATCGCGGTCGACTTCAGGTGTACTATTTTATTTACATGAAATGAAATTTGGCCCACACACAACAGGACCGAGATGATAATACGGAGAGAAAACAAAAACGTTCGGGTACTTCTACGTTTATTGTATCGACATGATTATTGTACCTACGTAAAATATAATATTGTACGAAGGTACAGGTACTTATCAGTGTTATTAGGGCGCGGGTCAAGGGGTGTCTCTCGAAGGGGATATTGTACAAATATTTGCACCCAGGACCAAAAAACGTACTCATCATCACGCGGTCTCATCGCAATAGTATACTATTATATTATAGTATCAGTCGTGTAACCACTAACCGCGTAGGTATTGTTGTGGGAACCCGCAACGACGATGATCGTGGTGCAGCGGTTAATGGGCCGTTACTAATACCGCGCGGTCGTCTCCCGCCATTCATTACGTCGTTCTCGTATATATTATCATATTTTATATGTGATAATATTGCAGTCCGCCGATCTGGTCTCGTTCTAATTCGACGCGTGTCCTCGTCGTGACGTATCCCCAAAAACTTACCCTCGCGGCGTGTGTGTGTGTGTTCACTGAATACAATGT